TGCACCGTATCCAACAATATGCAGGGGGCATAAGTTATCCCTTGGGTTAGGGGTAGTTGGTAGGTGATTCCTAGTCCACGTAATCAGAAGGTTAGGAGATGGACTTTGGCCTCTACCCCCAAAATTCTTATGTAGGGCTTAAATTTGCAAAGTTTGCTTGACCATATTGGGCTTATAAGTTATATAGGGTCTTACATGCTTTTGGTTTGACTAATCATAAATATAGTTATCGACCCTACTAATTGCTAAGGATTTGATCTATTGTCAATACCCCCATTATGCCTGCATAGAGTCTATAACCTGTAATCATCCAGCACTAGGGTAGTCCTTATTAGAATATACTTTGGAGAACGAATGGTTGATCTCCTCTTTATATACTTACTATTATTGGTCCAACTAGTCGCTTGTTGAAAGCTTGATCAAGGGTCAATACCCCCACAACAACTCTCAATTGGTTTTATCGAAAACATTGTCGAGGTCAATTAAGACAAAATCTGATTTCTTTTTTGTTTTTAGCCATGCCATAAAATAAGTTCATGCCTAGTTAATGCTTGTTTGAAGATACATCTCCTTGGAAGAAAACACTGGTTGGGGCTAATGATGATGTTAAGGTGATTTTCTTAATCACCTTATAGATGACATAGCAGTTACTAATAAGCCTAAAGTTGGTCATTGAGAGGAGTCGTTGTCATTGAGAGAAGTCGTTTTTCTTCAGGATAAGGGTGATGAAGGTTGAATTTATATATTGTATTATTGGTTGTCATAATACGGAATTATTTTTAAAAGAGTTACAAGAGATAAATCATCAGGTCGAGGGGATTTATTAGGTGTACCTTGATGAGAATAATGAACACCTAAAATTTTAAGTGATTTAGATTTCTAGAAATAAAATGAAAATTCAAATATGAAATGAGATCGTGACCCGTCAGATCGGCCCAAATTCAATATGAGCTGTTGGCTGACATTGTAGCAGTCAGCCCATGATAAAAAAATAAATAATTTGAAAAATAAAATGTGACCAAAATACCTTTGAAAAGTTTCAGGGGGATTTTGATCAATTTATTTAATACAAATTATTTTTTTATATTTTTATTAGATTCTATTTCTTTTAAAAAATATACACTTCAAATTCAAGTGATTTAGATTTGTAGAAAAAAAAATTAAAATTCAATTACGAAATATAACTATGATAAATTTGATCGGCCCAGATT